TAACTTCAGTGTTGAATAAAAATGGCCCCCCCCCCCGAAACAAGCCGCAACATTAAATGTGATGAGCACAGTAATGATTGTCTCAAAGCAATTGGAAAAAGTAAAATTATTTTGATCGTTATTTGCAAGTTTTGTATCTACAGTTTTGAAAAATGACAGCAAGGTTCTGAAACTAGTGCCAAAGCAAAAAAACAAAACAAAAAAAAAAACGTTTTGCCAAGTTTTCCGTTTATTGAATAACTGTTTACAAAATGTATTACAGCTTCACAGAATTGAAGGTGACGTGTTCAGATGTCTTTTGTTCAACCTAAGTCCAAAACCCTTCAAATATTAATCTCACATTGACATAGAAGAAAACCAGCAAATCCTATTTCAGAAGTTGTAAGCTGCAAACATTTGGTGTTGATAAATGGCTGAAGTGGTTAATCTGTTTTCAACCTGGTTGTCAAATCAATTTGTCAAGAAATTGATTGACTAGTTTCAGTTTTACCTAAGCAAACTGTTGACATCCACTACCATATGTCATATACCTGTGCTTGCACATTTTCTGTTCTAGTAAACCCTTGGTGTGCCTGTTTCCACCATTATTCAAGCAAAATCTGCTGTCATTCATCTATCTGGTCCACTCGCGTCTTCCTCGGACTTCTGTATTCCATCTGCTCAAATGCCTCAGCCTGGACCCTTGTCCGAATCCTTGGGTCATTGCTCTGAGTAGACAGCTGGAGAGAAGCCTGGGGGCCCACAGTGAGGAGCCTCTGTACACTCCAATGTGCAGCCAGAGACTCAAGGATCTGTCACAGCATTTGGTTGGTTCTGGTGAGACCGTGGGATGGAAGTGCCTCAAAGGACAGATAGCAGAACCTGCATCTCTGAGTGTGTCAGATTTGTCAGAGCTGGGAACACAAAGGAAAAGGAAGAGCAGTTTTGTCACTCTGGACTCAGACGGTGAAGAAACGGTGGAACAGCAGAGTAAACGGATAAAGATGGATGTCTGTGGTAGCAAGCATGGCAGTGCAAAACAGTGGAGCGGACACGAGGAGACACCAGAAAGGTGTGAGAGTGATGCTACAGCAGAAAATCCTCATGAAGAACTCCAGCGAGCACCAGACAGTCCGTGTGATGCTCTGCCTGAACATATAAAGGTAGCGCTAAGGCTTTGTCTGGTTCACATTGAAATTTATCAACCTTTTTTGCTTTCATCCAATGAAAGTTTCAAATGATGATTGGATATACTTTTGATAGAAATTTTCCAAAAGGATCAAATCAGGGTTACTAATGAGATCGTTATTATACAGGATATATTTTAATTAAAACATGTTCTGCTATTTTTCATTCAGCTCTCTGTTCTTCAAATAAAAGAATTAGTGGAAAGTCAGACAGAGGTAAGAAGAAATACTTTCATTTAGACGACACAGCACAGACTTCAAGTTATGTTTGGTATTACTGTGAAAATTTTTTAAATTTTCTCTTTTCAGTGGGACCAGAGCTCCACAGATGTGTTCAAAGTGTTGAATGACTGTGACCCTGCCCAAGTATGTCCTCAAATTGTTGCGGCTGATCTTTACACCTGCATTAAAGCTTCTGTGTTGATTGCATTATTGGTGTATGTTTGTAATATTTTATTCACTGCATTGATGTGTATGCGAAGACAAAGTACCACAACTTAACATCAGTACAGATGCAGGCTAGAAATTATGACTGAGCGGAGGCAACAACTGAACAAAAATTTTATGTTAGGAAGATTAGATTAGATTCAACTTTATTGTCATTACCCATGTACAAGTACAAGGCACTGAAATGCAGTTTAGCATCTGGTACCACATGCATTTACATTGTACGGGTGTTATCGAATATATATCAGCTCCATTGTAAGAAGTAAAGTAGAGAAATGAGGAAAAAAGATAATTGGTTAGTGTTTCTTAATTTTGTGTCATACCTCAGCTAGCTGTGCTTCACAGGTACCCGTGACCAGTTGGGAAGCTTTTTGAAACCACTCAGTTTATGCACTTACTTATGTTCTGGACTAATTCCACATCTGTGCCTTTCTTATGCAGGTGGAGGTGTTATGCAGCACACTCAGTTTTCCTGATTTACCGGAGCAAACTCTGCCCAAACTGTGCAGCTGTGTTTTGGCTCTTTCTCCTGACCTCAGCTACAGCACGGCAGCAGCGCTCATCAAGAGCCTCCTGCTGGAGAAGGTACATCACTGGATATGCAAAGGATTCAAAATGAGCTGCTGTGTTTGATACTTATGGCATATCCTGCTATTACATGTGCAGGTCCTGTCTCTATCAGAACTGGCCTCCAGGTGCCTGGTCACCACAGCAACGTCTCTGTGTAGCCGCTATCCCAGACCAATGTGCCACGCTCTAATCGGACCAGTTCTAGACAAGAACATAGGTGAGGAAAAGGCTGCGCTATGACAGAGTAAATTAATAGGGAAGGGCCTTTGGCTCAGACCTTGGCTTAGACCTTGGCCCAACATTGACTGATTCCTCTATTTGGAACTTTGCTTTGTTGTCAGGGAATCCACAGGCTGAGCTGCTGAACAGACTGATAGAAGGCTGTCTGGATTCCCACTACAGACTACTGGTGTTTCAGTAAGATACAATGTTTACATTCTGCATAACTGCTATAACAAGTCAAAGAAGTGAAAACTGATAGTGGTTTCAATATAATGGTCTCACATGGTTATTAGTTGCAGACCGATAGTGGTTCATTATAATGGTCTCACATGGTTATTAGTTGTTTGCTGGTGCAGTCTTTTACCTTATTTTTCTTCCAGAATGACATTCAGAATAACATGGAGTGAGGCAGTGCTCTCCATTATCCACAGCTTGCTAGACTCCAAGGTAAGCAGAGTGTTTTTTCATAGAAAAGGTGCCTCAAGGCCACGTAGTCATAATAGTCATTGTTATCAAGTTGCTTGTGTTTTGTTTTTCAGCCTGACTTGAATGAAGAACTGTTTGCACAGTTCATTGACCAGTTAGTCAACCAGGGTCCTCAACTCACAAAGTCTGTGAAGTTTGCAAAAATGATGCTAACAGTTCTCACCAAATATAGCAGTTGTGTAAGTGTTTATTTTGCTTAAATGAAACTTAATGCTGAGATAGTGGATAAAATAGTGTTTGTAATCTTTTGTCCCTATGGTTTAATTTGTCTGTCCAGGTGACTGCTGCACAGAAACACTCCTTGTCCGGTTGCCTGATGATAAATGAGACCTTTCTAAAAAGGTCTCTCCAAGCTTCTTTGAAAAGAATCACACACACACGAGATGGTAATACTTTGTGACCAGCACATTGATGAACTGCTTATATCTGCTTAAAAGCACATTATAATGGGTCATTAAGCATTTGTTAAATTTTTACATAATGCTTATGAATGTTACATAGGGGAACTAATGTTAATAAAGTTGTATAACTTCCTGTCTACTACTTGAAAATATTTTGACTCGAAGATGAAGCACTTCAATCCAGTGACTGATATTCTGCCGTCATATTCTTCTTGTGTTGCCTTGGAAAAGAGTCACTAGAATTAATAAAATGTAAACAGAATTATTTTGTTGTTGTTGTTCTACAATTTATTCACCAATCCTACTTAAGATAGTGATTCACGACACAGCTCTGTGCACTAAAGAATATTTTAAAAATCATTATCAAGCTCAGCATGAATGTGGAATAGTAAACAATGAGATCTGCAGCTTTGTGACCTGCAGTTATCTTTAAATTTGTTTTTCTGTTATTTTACTACTCTTTTACAGTGTTTTTATTTTGTACATTGCACTTAAAATTTAAATTATGAATTTTTGATATGAATAATTTAAATCCATTATCTACCACCACAGGTGTTTTCACTTTAGATCGTGCATACAAAATGGTCAGAATCTGTTTATAAAATATAATGAAGTTTCTAGATTAATATGTATTGCTTATTCGTGTTATTACATAATACTTAAAGGGAATTAGACACGTAAAGGTATACCAAGCTATCAATCCAGCTTTGCACCAAGTGCATATTCATTAATATAAACACGGATATTCTTCAAATTGGAAAACAAGCTGGAAACAGATGATTCGCTGTGGCGACCCCTAACGGGAACAGCCGAAAGAAGAAGATTCTTCAATTTGGAACAATCCCTCAGTTCAAATAGGAAAAATTCCTATCCAGTGGTTTTTATAGTTAAATGACAATATCAGTAATTTTAGTAATTCTTCCAATGGCTTCAAGATGATTTTTGAAGGGTGGTCAGGTGGGTAAATTTACGAACTACAAAATTATTAGGTACACCAATTTTTAAAAAGGGGACTAATGGATGACAGTTACGCTTTGAGGTATTGAAATATTGCTGCATTTAATCGTTTGATATGGAATTGTTCTTTTGTTTTTCCTTTTGGAAAGCAAGCAGTCTCCCAAAGTATCGGAGACTGCATAACTTAAGTTAAACTTAAGAGAGGATATACAAAGTCGTTATTTTCATATTTTAGATAGATGTGTGTAGTTCATGGATGTGTTGGTGCCAATGTATTATTTAGATTAATAGCGTAATGCATTAATGGTTGGTGTAGCACTACAAATTCATGCGCTTTTTAATGACGTAATCGAGCCGCTTTTATTTTGCGTAACTTCCCACCGTACTTCCTTTTCAGCGTAGAGAGACAAGCGGGACGGTCTAGCAGAATGAGGTTAGATACAAAATAACCTTTAAATATAAAACATTTAGTGTTTCTACATTATGCTTGATTGTATTTGAAGCATACATCTGTTGTGTTCTTGTCCTATATCGCCGTCATGTTATTTAGCCTAGTTTTTCAGAATCAGACTAGGTTAAATGTTACGTATGGAACCGGTTCATCTGGCGGCGTAGGACATCACGTTGAGTTTTAGTTTTAATCTATCGTCATCCACAGATTTAAAACACATCTAGGTTTACAGTTCAACACCAGATGTTTAAATCGACTCCACTGCAGAATATTAACTCGAGTCTTGGCGCACTTTGTATCTTTTTTCTCTCACTTTGTTGTCGCTGTTGTGTAGCACATTCGATGAACTGGATTTAATGGGAATTTTAACTCATTTCAGCTGATTGAACCTGTTATTTGAAATTTCCCATGTTATAGTAAGGTTTCCAGGGACACACTGTATGAAGCTGTGAGGGAGGTCCTCCAGGGCTCTGTGGCCAAGCCAAGGAAGTAAGTTCATATGTAGAAAGAGGCTAATCAGTAAACAAATTGGCCTTTAGAAATATAATGCATTAGCAGGGCGTTATGTGTAACTTTTGTGTTATCAGGTTCGCGGAGTCGGTGGAGTTGCAGATCAGTTTGAAAAACTATGATCCCCAGAAGGACAAGCGTTTCTCTGGAACTGTCAGGTTCGACCTTTTACTGTCTCACCCAACCTTTTCCCTGTGTGCTTCCAGCCCCGTCTGAGTATCACAATTGCCTTGGATATGGCAAGTAGTATCTTGATCAATCCTAAGTGGTCCAGACAGGCTAGGGGGCAGACAATGGATAAGTACTGGGTAGTCTGACTGAGCCGGCTCAGCCTTGGCTGAAGGCAAAGCAGACGGACCCCTACCCTGGGTCTTAAAACATGAGGGGAGGCTTTGAATGACCGAGCTGGTAAGTTCTGGTCCTCAAGCCGACCAGTGTACATTATGTGACCAGAGGTCAGCTGGACACCGACCAGGCTGGTGGTATGGGTAAGACTTTTTCTACTACACAGTAAAATCAGGAAGGTGTAATTTGGGGGTGGCGGAGCATTTGAGTCTCGAAATGTAAAAACATTAACTAGGATATTTTAGATCAATGAGCTTTATCACTATTAGATCACTTCACATAAATCTGTACAAGAATGAGATGGGTAGTTATGTACAATGACAAAGTAAAAGTAGAATAGAGCCTGTAGTATGTGCTGAATATACACTGTAAAATAATGGTAGAATTTCAAAATAAACTGCCTTAAGGTGTAGAATTGCCCATCAATGTTAAACTATATGTGTATATGATCTGAGTAATTTACTACCAAAGGACACTCCTGGGGCATTGTGAGTGGTGTTGCTAACCACTCTGTTAATACACAGGCTGAAGACTCTGCCAAGGCCGAAGTTCTCTGTCTGCGTCCTGGGAGACCAGCAGCATTGTGACGAGGCCAAAGCTGCTGACTTGCCACATATGGACATTGAAGCTCTCAAGAAGCTCAACAAGAACAAAAAAATGGTCAAAAAGCTCGGTATGAAGCGAACATCATATCCCCGAAGACGCATATTCAGTGATTATTGAAAACTGACAGGCCTTGTAATGTTGCTCTCGGTTCCTGTTCTCTTGTAGCCAAGAAGTACGATGCCTTCCTGGCCTCAGAGTCTTTGATCAAGCAGATCCCCCGTATCCTGGGTCCTGGGCTGAATAAGGCCGGCAAGTTCCCCTCCCTGCTTACTCACAACGAGAACTTGATCACCAAGGTGGATGAGGTCAAATCCACCATTAAATTCCAGATGAAGAAGGTATGTTCAGCACCCCCCTGTTTGGATATGTTTTCAAATCTGTTTCCTAAGAATAGTATCAAATATATGTGCCAAAATTACATTAGGCGCTTCACAGAATTTATCCTGTTGGGTTACTGCACACTGTATTGATCTTTGTATCGTAGGTGCTCTGTTTGGCTGTGGCCGTAGGACACGTGAAGATGACGGAGGATGAGCTTGTGTACAACATCCACCTGGCTGTCAACTTCCTGGTGTCTCTGCTGAAGAAGAACTGGCAGAATGTACGTGCCCTCTACATCAAGAGCACCATGGGCAAACCCCAGCGCCTCTACTAAATCACAGCTTTTCTATTAATAAAAATGTGGAGATGCTTTGGAGAGTAGGTGTTTTTATTTATGAGCTTTGTGTTCATTGAATTATGTGTTTTGTAAATGATAGTTCAGCAACAGATGGCTCTCTCCTCAGCATGGAAGGTTGTCGCTACAGTAATACTAAATTTAGCACCATGGAAACGAAATTAAGTCACTCAGATCTTCTAGGTTACCGGTGATGCACCATATCCACTGGCTTAATCATCTTTTATAAATTAAAAATAAAACCTGCAAATACAGCACACTGGAACAAAACCCACAAAGGTCGTAGACAAAACTATGTCGTATGTTTGTTTCTGTGTGCTCTGGAAAGCAAAACAATAAATAGTTTTGTTGAAGTAGACAATCTTGTAATTAGTGATGTATTCATGATAATGTGTAGGTTCATATATACGCAAAAAAGTGTTTGCAATGACAGGATGGGCATATGTAACATTTTGGATGGATTATCATCATATCTGGCCAACAGTGATGGAAAGTAATTTTGAGGTACTTTTTTGGTGTGACTTTATACCTCTGCTATATTTAAGAGGAGTTTTTTGGTTTGCTGTTTTAGTTTCTAGTTACATTCAAAACATAAATGCTTATAAAATTTATGCCATAGTATTGAAGTACTGACAATGGAATCCACCTTGGGATCTGTTCTTGCGCCTGCTGTTCCCTTTTGTCTCAAGGTTTGTGTCAGTAAAGTATTAAATATCCGTTTAGGAAAGCCAAATACTCCCTTTGTGTGGACGGTATCAGAGCTGCTTGGGTTTTGTGTATATTGAGGAGCTCAATGTTAACCCAGTGAAAGTGCTGGGAACGACAGAAGGGCCACATTTGATTCATCACCTGGGTCGACCATAGTATTTATTTACTCTAGATAAAAACAGCAACAGGTAGAACCACAGCTATCCATGAGTCTCTTGGGGCAGTTGTCCTGCTCTGGTTTCACTGTGAATCTCCTTAAAGGATTAGCTATTCTCAGAACAGGAGACTTGAGACAGAAGATGAGCCAAACATGGACAGGAGTTTGTGAGAATATATATTTTTGGCAACAATACTAGATCCACTGTTCACCGTGAAGAGGATTGTAATAATTTAATCAGGTTTTTACTTGAGCAAGATGTTTGAATTAGTTGTGTGAAGCAGACACCAGCTGATGTGTGATGGGACGCCAAGGTGAGTCAGTCGACCTGCTGTCGTGGTTGTTTCCATTACTGTTCAACACTTCATAAGTAATGGTCGTACCTATTTGTGGCAGAGTTCGTGTTTATGAACTTGTTTCACCCTGATGTAGAGACATAATTACAGCCTTCCACCATGCTGGCCAGTGAAGACAGTGATGCAGGTAAAAAGGTTAATAAAATGACCTGTAACCGGTGTGGTGGCCCTATATTTAAATTAGATTTTATATCTAAAACAGAAACCAGCCAAGAGGAGCTGCCAATCACTAGCTGGAGTGAGCTGTCTATCATAGAGTGTTTTGGTCTCAACAGGTACAATGTCTGACTGCCATACACGCCACTGTAATAGATTTAATCAACCAGGTTTTATTTGATATTTCATTAAGCTTTCAATGCTCTTTTTTTCCTGACAGTGTGGAGATGTCAGAGAAAGATCTGGAGGTAAGGCTTCCACTTCTCATTCACCACGATCTGCTACAGAGTAGATGCTTTTTAATATTTGTTGTATTTTGTAGTTTCATTGTCATTCTAATTTTAAAATAAATAAAATGCCAAAGGAAATATAGGTTCTCGCAAGGACCAGGGATTAAAACCTGTCATTAAATCAGACAAAAACCTGAAAATAATTGCGAGGTGTATGGATGTATCAGAAACCAGAGAGGAATGAGTGATCTGATTCTGCTACTAGGCCGCCTTCCTTCAGATCGCCCTGGCTTTCCGCTCTGATCAGTACACCCTGAAACAGAGGCTGCAGGCAGAGGAACACGCTCGCAACCTGGCTGAGGAGAACATCCAGCTGGAGCTGTCCAGAGGCAGAGAGACCCTGGAGGTACAGTGTATATAGTTCAGTGGTTTTGGACATTTTTTTCAGTTTTCTGTATGCACAAGGAGTTTTCTTTCAAACCTCTCTACTTAGGAATGGTTCATAGTGAGATCTGTCCTTAAAGCTTCAGTTCAGATAAAAGAAACTTCCAGGAAAACACCTTAATTGGGATAGACATTGGAGCGTCAACA